GAGCTGTGTGGAGGCTCAGTCTGAGCAGAAGGGCTCATTTGAGGGGAGCAGCCGCAGCCCGAGCAGCAGATACAGAAATACTTGTACACTGACATCAGCCGAGATAAGGCACAGCCACTGTTGATTTGAGGACATCTCTCCTGCCGGCAAGGTGATACTCGGAGGCGCTGCTTTCATCCATCCACGGGCTATTTTTACGCACGAGAAGCACAAAGCGGAAAGCTCCATGGCTGTTTCTCTCGGCTTTCTTTGGAGACTATGAGGACCGGAGCTGAAGTTTGAAGCGACTCCAGGTTGATAAGTGTAAAATTTGCATCGCGCGTCCAGGCCCTGTGTGTGTGTGTGTGTGTGTGTGTGTGTGTGTGTGTGTGTGTGTGTGTGTGTGTGTTTCTAATCGCTCTTCGTGCTGTTATCTCTTACGCAGGAGAAGAAGGGTGGCAGTTCTCCTGTTGTTGGATAGTTGGCGTTTTCCAGAAGGATGGTCCTGGACAAGGAGGAGAGTGAGTACACAGACGTTTCTTGTTTCTTTTTTTGGACCTGATGCTGCCACTTTAATACGATCCAACACAACTGTTCTGCTATAAGGTTCGTTTTTTTTTTGTGTTTTTTTTTAAACGACGTCTGTAATGTTGAGTATTTGATGGCATTGTCACAGAGGTGTTCATCCAATTGTGTGTTCAGTTAGAGATGGTGTACTGGACTGCATCATATTCACCACCTTTAACTCACAGATCTCATGCAATGGAAAAACTTTGTGACAGAGATAATTTGCAGGATTTCACTTGTGTGTTTCCTTACTCTTAGTTATTTTAAATTAGAAAAAACAGCATCACAAATGGATTTAAGACCTGTGAAGGTTAGTATGCCACTGTGCAGCAAAAATACATGAACATCTAGACTCCAGACAAGCAGATGTTCCCCCTCTTTTCATGTCAAACCTAAATTAAGCTTAATGATGAGGTTTATTATTTGCTGCTCCTCCCTCAAAGAAAACTATTGCTGAACATTAAAAGCAATTAAGTTTTCAAATCTAACCCAGTCTGTCTCTGTGTCTGTCTTTGTCCTTTCATCTATCTGTTGGGGTTGTCTCTTGTCAGGTGTGTCTCTCGTGTCCCTCCAGTCCAGAGAGAAGCCGAGGGGCTGCGCCGGCTGCAATGGAAAGATCCGGGACCGCTTTATGCTGCAGGCATTAGACAGGTACTGGCACGAGGACTGTCTGAAGTGTGCCTGCTGTGACTGCCGCCTGGGCCGGGTGGGATCCACCCTCTACACCCGGGCCAACCTCATCCTCTGCCGCAGAGACTACCTGAGGTACGGCTTCCACAGGTGGAACAGCAGTGGAAAAGAGTGTAGAGAATTAATGGTGTATCATGCAGCTTCAATACCAGTCATTCCAGAAACCGCTGTCATCATAGAGATCTAGTGCAGAATTTGCAAAATAATACGAGACCTAACAGGAACAGCCTGTTAAAAATATTCTTGACTGTTTTTGCTAAACTTGGCAACACCCCAATGAATGTAAACTGTTACTTGAGACAGTTCTGTGTCACCATATTGGGGCTCGTCACTAAAGCCAGCAGTTGATACGTACTTTTCTGGCTTCACCTGTTCGTCAAAGGGTTCATCCTTTATAAGGTCGTTGGTTATCTGCTAAATTTAGGTTTTAAACAGCAACAACATTACATTCTTCAAAATATTTAGCTTGACGGTTTCAAGAGAGATAACAACAAATGCAGTGAGCTTACACAGTTTGGACCGAGATGTAACCGTTCTGACTGAACAGTAACAGAGCAGGCGGGCTGCTGACATTTTAGTATGTTTCGAGTCTTTGTTAACGAAATCCTGAGTGAAGCCAGAACAGTGCAGCTTGTGCTTTATGAAGGCCAGGCTTTCTCTGGTCACTTTATAATGAACTTTTATGTCAGTTTGACTTATTTTTCAGACAATAAACAATGGAACATAAAGAAGAAAATGAGAGGTGAAATTGGCACAGAGTAGCTACAGAAACAGATGTGAAGATATGATAACGGTCACAGTGATGTGCTCTTGATGATTTTCTGGAGAAGTTCAAAATCTTTTGCAGCCAGTTTGGGCATGTGTCACATGGGTGCAAATGTTGTCAAACACTGAGTCACCGGTTCGATTCCCGTGTGGCTGGACCTTTGTTGCACATCACATTCCTGCTCTCCTCCCCACATTTTCTGTCTCTGTCCAAATAAATAAAGGCAAAAATGCCCAATAAACAAGCTTTTTGGAGAGTAGATTTGTAGCTGCAGATTGCAACTTGTTAGCTTAGCTTAGCATAAAGATTGGGAGCAAAGCTTGCTGCTCTGTTGATGTTAAACAGGAATTTATCTGTAAATATCTTGGCTGAAACTAGTCACTTTGTACAGTCTGTTGGTAATAGTCTAAACTAATCTGCTACATAACACCAATTAGATGGAAAATTTACACTTAGAGAGGTGTTGGTAGATGAATTTCATTAGCTTTGTACAGCAACAGGCTAGCTTTTCCCGCTTGTTACAGTTATTTATGCTAAGCTAAACTAGCTGTTTTTATGCACAGGCTAGATATTAATTGTTTTCTTAACTTAGTTTTCTCAAAATGTCCACCTCTTGCTTTAAGTACATAACTTCAAGTCAAGGAAACACCGAGTTAAAGCATCTGCAAAGCTCGTAGCTGTTCTCCATGCAGCAAGACCGGATGTCCATAACACTTAGCACACTTCAAAGACTCCCTAAAACTCCTGATAATTGTAGATAGTCTAAACAGCTTCTTTATAAAATCCTTTGGATGAGATTATTCATCATCTCTTGTGACTGTGATGCACTATAGGATGAATATAAAGTATATGAGTAAGCGTGTTTTAAATATACTCAGAGCTTAAATATGTTTCCACCTTAACAGTCTCTAGACCATGAATCTTGATGACACCACTTACACAGACTTAAGCCGGGCTCACACAGCTCCTCTCAGAGTTATACACCCCCGATGTTTCTTGTCTGAAATAACGACGTCTGGTGTCAGGTCAGCAGGAGAACTCCTGATATCGCAGCCACATTGCTGAACTCATGTGTTAGTCTCATGTACAATCCAGCTGGATTTGGTTGGAGCTAAGTCGCTCATTAGCTGCGCTGCACTTAAGAGACCAAAACCCCTTTTGACAGTTAAATTGGCTAGATTGCCTCCTGTTTTCCTCATCATTGCAAGGGTGCAGACCAAAAGCCTTTGAAGAGCAGGATTAAAACCATGTGATTTCTTTTAATTGGACCATTAGTAGAGAATTAGCATTGAGCTTCGTAGCCTCGTTAAGGAGAAGGAAAAAACCCACCAGGTGCCTGCGAAGGACTCAGGCTCGTTAGATCAGAACATTCTCTTAATGAGGACTCGCTTTTGTTCCAGAGCTGGTCACTCGTTTGATGACGTTTTTCATTTGTTGTCCGAGGCTGTGGGATACACATGCTCAGCTCTTTTACTCCCTCCTTCCACGGATGTCGTTTTTCATAATGGTCCCTCCCAAACCTCCTTTTCTATCTGGCCTTCTAATGGAATATGGAAATCAGCTGCAGCCACTTGTCTTCATGTGTGTCGGGCTCTTGGGAAGCTATTTGTTCGTGCTGTTGAAGGTGAATGCGAGGTGAAGACATCTGCAGCTGGCCGCCACAGAGTGTTTAAAACAACGCTGAGTTTGTTCTCAGGTAGCTTGAGGACAGAAGTGGCCAGATAAATTGCTGGTTTTCAAAAAAGTCCAATAAATTGACTCTCAACTGCCTGCTTCTTAAAGTAAGCGACATTTTCATATAAATTGTGACATTTTCATATCAGTTAATCTCCATTCCGCTGCTCTGCATCAGCAGTAGATATAATGCAGTGTGATCTAAGTTATATCCAGTTCGTGAAAACTTTTACATTTGATGTTCTGAACATTGTGAGGAAAAGAGCTTGTTGCAGATGTAATAGAAGTTTGATTAGAGCAGATAAAAAGCTGTTACCCTGCCTTCACACAGTGTTGGCAGAATAGAAGCAACTCGGTTAAATCACAGGAGAATTCTCACTTTTTTTCCAGACTACATAACTGCATTGCAAAGCCCTAAATCACACCATGTACCCCAGTGGAAACAGAGGCACTTTCGTACACTTCTGTCCAGTTTTTAATGAGTTAAACCAGATATGAATGAATTGTTAACACTTTGATATAATAAAGAACATTCTGAGTACTCCAAGGGATAAAAAAAAGCAACACATCAGGAGCTAAGAGGTGATTAATGCATCACTAATGTCTATGAATAATGATGAGTTGCTGGAGTAGAATATCTGATGTGTGTGGTTGCCAGTTAACTGTCGACAATAGCTTTGTAGTAATTTTGGCTGCAGAGTATTGTTATGCTGAAACAATGAATCATTTCAAAACATGAAACGTTGTCTGCCTCCAGCTTCAGAAATATGAGCTTTTTCTGGCTCTTCCTTCTCAGCTGTGACAGTAAAACTTTTGAGTTTTGGACTGTCGAACAGGCAGATTGGTCGATAAAAAAATTAATGGGTGGTTGCAGTTATAGTTTAATGACACGGCTGCAGTTCTTATTACGAGGAGCTCATCCTATCATCTACTCATAATTACAATTAGGAGGGCTGATTTGAATGGTTTTTCACACTTGGCTGCACTTATATATAATGTGATGTGAGCGCTGCATTAGGAGCAGAGACAGCCATCAATAATGTGAAAGAAACACAGCGCAGTTCACTGCTATAAAGCAGTAATTGGAGTGATTATGAGCAACATCTGTGGCGCTTACTGAGAGGCTACCTTTTAGGCTTGTCCTCCCTTTATTTCAGCGTTTTTTTCCCCCCCTACTTTTAGCTCTTGGCTGAAAGCTAACTATGTGTGCGTCCAGATTACAGGCCTGCTTGTCGCCCTCTCTCCTTCTGCAGACTCTTTGGGGTGACGGGGAACTGTGCAGCCTGCAGTAAGCTGATCCCTGCCTTTGAGATGGTGATGAGAGCCAGAGACAACGTCTACCATTTAGACTGCTTCGCCTGTCAGCTCTGCCGCCAGAGGTAAGATTAGGGGAGCAATTAGCCAGGGAGATCAAATTCAGTTGACTTATCTGGGAGGTGTACTGGTGAGCTCACTGGTCATTATGAGCGTATTACCAATGCATTGTAATCAGAATGTGATGAAATCCACTCCACAGTTTAAAACAGTGAGGGGTTAAAGACTTTGTGTATCGCTTGGATAGTTAATCAAGCGGCAATCATGCAAGATTAATTCTCTGATTTTCAGAGTAGTGGATGTATGCTGAAAATATGCCTGAAATGCTCCCCTGGGACCTCATGATTCACTTCAGCTCCAGAAAGAACCAAGACCCAGTTCCATATTTTTATTTCTCTCTGCAGATTTTGCGTGGGAGACAAGTTTTTCCTCAAGAACAACATGATCCTGTGCCAGCTGGACTATGAAGGAGGCCATCTTAATGGCAGCACCGAGAGGCAGCCTCAATAAGAGGTAATATTCTGATGACGATGAATTACAGTCCCAGACAGCTGCTCTGACAGTTTGAACTAAACCATGCGCAGAAATATCTGGAAGGTATACAAGTGAGCTCACGAGCTCATCCCAAATATGACCATATGTAGACAAGAGACTTCAAACCAGGGGCTGCGGACATTAGAATTCCTGCCAAGATGTGTTGTGGCATGTTATCTTAATGTCTGATAATATAATCCAGTTTGTGTGTCATCTCAAACTAGGTGAATTTCTCAAACACAGATTAAGCATACTAAGAACCAGATGTGAAAAACAACCCTTTAAGAGAAAATGGATACACATTTGATTTAAATCAACAAAACAAACAAATCTTTAAACCAGGGAACTAAAGTCTGAACGGATTAAGGTGCTCTATATAATATCTTGAAATGGAAAACCAGTGGAAAATTATAGAGTGCTCACTGCTTCGGATTTGGAGAGAATTTGCTGTGTGGATTAATATGAGAGTTCATGTCAACCCCAACATCTCCAGCACCAACTTTAGACAATTTCACTTTATACGACCTGCACAGCACCAAAGTTAGTTATCTGGTGACATATCAGCACATTCAGGAGTTGGTGGAGACCAAAAACAAAGCTAAAGGTGGGTAGAAACATTAGATTTAAGTTTAAGAATGGAGATGTTGTTCCTGTTTTAGTGAATGTGCAAACTATAGCTCGCTAGTATATCCAACTTCATGTCATGAGAGTGGTAAAGAAGCAAGAAAGTAACTACTTAAGAGAGATTACTGAAGCTTTTTCTGTGATAACTGACATTTGTTGCACTCAAATGCACTCATCAGCCACAACATTAACCCTATTCAGGATTTTTGAGGTCTTTTGGACTCCAGGCCATTTGGTTTAGGTGACAGGTATTGTTTTTCATTTTTGAGGATTTCTTTTTAAATATAAAAAGAGGGACATGTGTCATGCATTTGAAACTAAAAATACATCAACTTATCAGAAAATGTATTTAGCATAGTATAAAAGTCTGTAATGAATGCCAACAAATATTTTGCACATATTTTTTCTTGGGGTCCAATGGACTCCGAAAGACCTGCTACGTATGGCAACATGAAAGTCCTGAATAGGGTTAAAACTACCTGGCTAATTTTTTTTAGATCTCTCTTGTGCCACCAAAACAGCTTTGACTGATCGGGTCATGGACATATAATCTCGTGGGTTTCCTGTGTGGCAATGGGACAATGGCAGCAGATCCTTTGGGTCCTGTGGGTTGTGGGGTGGGGCTTCTGTGGATCGTGCTTATTCCAATGCATCCCACGGGTACTTTACCGTGCTTCTCAAGTGATTCCTGAGCAGTTTTTGCAGTGCATTGTCCTGCTGGAGGAGGCTGCTGCCATTGCCATGAACGGGTGTGCTTAGTCTGCGACAGTGTTCAAGTGGGTGTCAAAGTAGCATTCACATGAATCCCAGGACCCGCGGTTTCCTCGGTGAAGGTTGCATCGTAACAAGATGATCAACATTATAAACTTTACCTGTCAGTGGTTTTAACTTTGTGGCTGATGTATGTAACGGCAAATCACATTTTGAAAATCACATTAAACTGACAATTCAATGTGTACTTTGCAATGCACAAAACAATTCTCTGCTGCCCTAACTTGAGTTAAATGTTTAATCCTGCAATCTTCAACTCTCTAAAAAGCCATTAGGTAGAGCTTTCAACTCACCATTATCCTAAATCACAAAGTGTTTCTTTCTCTTTGTGTGAGACACTGGACATGTGTCTTGTTCTCTCATGTCTGGATTTAAACAAGATTCATGAAGCTTTACTCTGTAATGTTTCTAATGAATATATGTATGTATATATAATATATATTGGGAGAATTATATTGAGGCAGTTTGGTGAAACACATTTACTGTTGCACATGAAAAATAGATGTCCCTAGATGATTGCTGCTGTACTTGAACATGCTGCCTGTAGGTTTAAACAAGTCTAAGGATCTTCTTTAGGTTTTAAACAGCAGACAAAATAAATCCTGTGGGTGCAGAGTACATCCGCAGTACTTCCTTCACTGAGCCTTGTGAAGGGTGTGTGAGCAGTGGTCGGCTGCGAGGGCAGATGGTTGGAGGAGAGTTGAAAGCAAGTGCAACAAATCCCACAGAATCCACAATTATGAAGGCTTCAAGGTCTGTCCTGGTTCAGAACTATTCCCTAAAGCCACCAGCAGCCCAACATATTATTATGATGCTAACTGTACAACTACAGTCCATAAAATACACAACACCACACTGGACACTTGATGGACTCTGGATTTTTTACTTTGTCTTCCAGAGTTCATGCTGAAATTGTTTCAGATGTTTAAAGATAATTCATCTTTTTTTTTTTTAAAGGAAAATCTTACTGCATTTCAGGAAGTAGCCAACTCTTGAGGATTTAGTTAATTATATTGTTAAATGAGGTGAAAAACTAGATATCTTTAATATAAGCGCTGATAAATGTGACATATTTTGTATATATTTTGTGCATCAAAATCAAACTTAGGAAAATTGCTCCAACACTGTGATTGTGATTAAATGACTTTATCGAAGGCTTTTTGGTGTCCAAATATTGTAACTCTTTATAACATTTATCTCAAAACCAAACAGTTATGTTGATGTTTAATATTTTTGTAGATTTATTTACACTTGTGTCAACAGCTTCACATAAATGCGATCACCAGACCACTGCAGTGTGTGTTTTTCTTGGTTCTCAGCATTATGGCCTTCATGTCACTGAAAAAGAGTTACATAAAATGAACAAAATAAAAGTCGATTTAACACGAGTAAATTGAGTATACAACCTCTGGGAATTTTCTTAGTGCCATCTTGTTTATCTCCTTTATAACTCTTGATAAAGAGAGCATATAAATTTACTTAAAACAGCCTGTTTAGTTGGCTTTTGTTTCAGTTAAATAGCTAAGGTGGAAAAATATTAGTTTAATAATCCTTAACTGTACGAACAATCTTTGTAATTTTGCTTTAAAGTTTTTCTTAATTTTTTTGGTGTTACATTTTTGCATTTGTTGCTGCCAGTGTAATACGAACAATATGAACACACAGTGAGCGAAACTTTATTTATCCTTTAAGAATAGTGTGGCAAAAAAAAAGTGTTTCCAAGGCTTTTTTGAACAAGAATTTTCTTCATCTTAGAGCAAATCACAATTTGGAAAATTCTGTTTACTTCCACATAAATGTTAATCTTTATGTGGAAACAGCAGTGCTTTAAAGGTAGAGTCAGCAGTTCTAATCCAGCACAGTTTTGGTCACATTCAGTAAATATTTCCTCAGCTTCTGGTAGCTGTTCGTTCCTTGTGAAAAAAAAATCTGTTGTTTGTTCACAGCCCTGGCTCAGTTGGATGACAAATAAAAAATAAGATATGTCCAACTACAACGATAAACTCCTGAAAATATGACTAATTTGCGATCTTTTTCTTATAAAACAGACATGTTTATTTTGGGTATGAAATTCATGCATAAAATATATCCAGTACTTAGTGCATTTGTTCAAAAGAGAAAAATATTATTTTGATTTTAAAGTAGTAGATCACATATCACAGCCATTTATTCATAATGTAAGCCACAATTTATTGCTAGACACACAGCTTTTTTGATATTACACCACAATTACTGGATACATGAATTCGATATGTTTTTATTGAACCTCTCAAACCTCACAGAGCGAATTGGAGATGTTTTATATTTTCCCCTCTCTCTCTGCAGATCAGGAGGACGACTGTGAGCCAGTTGGACTATGAAACTCACAGCAGCGCACCCCTCATCAGGTTCTTGTTTCAGACTGAACTGTGTGGAAAAAAACCCACTGATTTCCAGCAGCCCACGGCTGAACTCTTTATTACAGAGCTGCGCAGTAATTTCCTTCAAAACCGACTCTTCTGATCAGATGGACTCAAGATCAACCAGGAAGTGAAAATGGAGAAATGAAACCACCAGGAGGATATCTTCCAGAGCACTTAATGTGGACTGAGAACAGAAATAGAGTGAACTAGTGTTTGCAAGTAATTTGTAGAGTCTGTTTCACCAAATGTGAAACACTAGATGGATGGGGAGGGGGGGAGGGGGGGACGCCAATCAGGCCACACATAGCATCAACCAAGTCATCCATCAAAGAAAAATACAAAGTTCCCTGTGATTGTCAAATTGTTCTGGCAGTCACTGAAGTGTCTTTTGTGGTGAACCCCACCCTGCTGACTTGAAGGAAAGCCACAAAACAAACTGAAACGTATTTGCAAATGTTGTTCGGCTCAATTTAGCAAATGAGGAGGACGAACTGTTCCTCCTCCATGTTTCCGCCTCTCGACTCTGAAGAATCGAGTGGGGCTTCAAGCACACCGTAGTTTTGTTCTCATGCTGGTTTTTCTTGACTAATTAAACTGGATTTTAATTTCAGTTTGTGTGCTCATTATTTCTGTACGGAGATGGTCATAACCGGTGAATGTAAGCATGACACCAGAGGAAGTAAAGATGGCCTCCAGTGAAAAATAACGTTATTTATTTTTAATTTTTTTTTTTACCTCATTAACATTTCCATGAGTTCAATAAGCAGTTGCATGGCTGAGCATATTCACTTCGACCGTCTCAAAAACACAAATTCAGATATTTAACGTTTCCTGTGTAACAAAATGGTCAACTTGCAGGCTGGGGCTTTCTGTGTCATTATTCTTCAGAAAATGTTTCTTGTTCAAATTATTGCAGCATTACAACTTGCTATTGTATAGTACAGAGTAGGTTTACAGTGATGTAGGTGAGCTGGTGTTTGATTTGCAGTGAGTGTGGAGGGGTGGGTGGAGAAAAGACTTAATTTATCTGCACATTCTAGAGAAGGCAGTGCGGCAGGGTTACCTCTAAGCTGTTTGAAGGTAGGAAGGATTCTTTTCATGGGAGGAAACTTTAAGTACACAGAGACAAGTTTTTCAGGGTTTAATTAATGACAAGACAGGGACTTGAAAGAGTCCATCCTGACAGTAATAGTTTGTATGACAAGGTGTTTCCAAAAATATAACATTATTTCAAACTGAAAGCTGCATTTAGTTGACCCAAGGTCACATATTTACTTTAGGGGTGTGTAAAGACCAAAAATAGAGCTTAAATATTATATTGAACAAAGATGACTCAAAATGAATGATCATTTTGCTCCATAACTGCTGGATGTGTTAATCAGCTTCTGTTTTTTACTAAATCTATTTAAAAGGGGTTTATGTCAATGTTGTCTTCACAGTTTGTTTCTGCTAGCCAAAATATAAATTGTACAAGTTTAAAGTGAATAAAGAGAAACTTTCCCTCTTGAAGGATGTTGAGTTTTGCACAGCACCATAAGGTCAAACAATAGACTTTATATGAACGATCAACATAGCTACTGAGACGCCACCGATTAGTTTGTGCACTGTTTTGGTTACAATTTGTCCATTGACCTATTACACTTTTAAAATTGGGGTGGATCTAACTCAAGGAGAACTCAAGGACACTATGCATATTGTAACAACATGTCAATCACAAGGTAAATCAAATCCTGCTTTCTGACTATTTCACTGCACATGGCAACATCCATCCACCCATTATCTACACACCGCTTAATCCTCACTAGGGTCGCGGGGGGCTGGAGTCTATCTCAGCTGACTTAAGGTGAAGGCAGGGGACACCCTGGACAGAGCACCAGTCTATCGCAGGGCTACACTTAGAGACAGACAACCAAACACACTCACATTCACACCTACGGGCAATTTAGAATCACCAATTAACCTCAACATATTTTTGGACTGTGTGGGAGGAAACCGGAGAACCCGGAGAGAACCCATGCTGCACGGGAAGAACATGCAAACTCCAAGAGAAAGATTCCGGTGCCCCCACCGGAACGCGAACCGGCAACCTTCTTGCTGCGAGGCAACAGTGCTAATCAACTGCGCCACCTTGCAGACATGGCAACATATTTTACAAAATTACAATCATGTTGTATTTAAAAGGTCTCGAAACCAGCAACTGAGTCAATAAACTCTTTAGGAAAATGTTTATTAAGGTTTTAGATCAGGTAAGGAGTAGGATAATTTTCTCTTGGACTTCTGCAGCCTCTGACTTGTTTTTGCAACCAGAGGAGTCGCCCCCCATTGGCTGTCAGGAAGAATGCAGGTTTAAATCACTTCTTGGCTCACTTTTCAGACTTCAGGCTGGTTCCATCTTTTATACACAGTCATCTGTTCAAACATGATTTAACATCGAGCAAACAACTGCCAAATTACAAGCTACACTTGCAGGTGCATTTTGAGGGTGAGATCATTAGATATGATCATAGTAGCTCTCTTGCTGCATATGAGACAGAAAGCATTTAGACTGGACTGTTTTTTTTTTTTTATTTGGTCAAAACACAACAAACCACCGATTTGTCTGTAATAGCATGTTGCCATTTAAAACCTTGTGACCACTGCTGGATTTGACTTCATGTGGTTGTATTCGACACATGGTGGGTAGAACCTGTGAGCCAAAGTCATCCTTCAGAAAGGTTTTACTCAAAATTTTAGTTATCCCTGTGCAGAAAATGAGATGCTGCAATACAGTAAGAGGACCAAGTGCTAAAGAAATTGTACAATAAAGCTGTGAGAAAAAAATCAACATATTCAGTGTCTGATAAAGGCGGTTATACTCTGGCAGAAACGATAAGTAACTTAAAAATGCATTGCTATTGTGAAGTATATTCAGCTGGCTGGAGTTAAGAGGAAAATCGCAGTTTGTTGACATACTGGCTCCACATTTGCACAGTGAAATGGACCAGTAACAGGAGATTGAAATGGAAGATTTGGTTACCAAAAGAAACAGAGCGCTAGTTGTATGGTGGTGCAATTATTGGAATATTATTCATGATGATGATTTTGGCATCTCACAGTTAAATGAACATGATCAACTACGATACTGACATATAAAATGGTCTACTCATAGGAAACAGCCCACACAGATAAAATTACCTGATTTCCCATTGGGTAAACAAATTTTAGCACAACATGGCAGTGAAAGCAGTGCTCTGTTTATTTAAGTGTGAAAGTGCAATAACAATATTTGTAAAATCAAGATATAATTGTTATAAATAGACTCATTGTGATCTCATTATTGTTTGAAATCATCATAACATTTAATTTGGCCATAATTGTGCAGCCCTAGTCAGTTGTGTGAAAATATTCTGTCTACTTAGAGGATGATCTCAACCAAAAACATTTATTCTAGTCTTGCAATTGTTGCTACAACATGAAGCAACATGAGTAATTTGTTTGATCATTTAAATCAGCACCACAAAGCTCTGTATGACAAGTGCAAAGAGTCAGAACTGAATGCCATCAAAGTAGAAAACTATTTGTAATGCCTTTACCGGTGTTGCACCATATGAGACACATTCCAGTCTGCACGAAGAAGAAAGTGCAGGAAAGTCAGTGAAAATTATTTTCATTATAGTGGCCCCTGACTAAGTGGCAAAAATAGCTCCACTAAAGGTCAAAGGTTGCTTTTTCAAAAACACCGGATCATGGCTGGTAGGGGTAAACACTCCCCTCTGGCAGGAGGCTTCGGTCCATCAGGACCAGAACCTCACACCACAAGAACAGTTTCTTTCCATCTGCCACTGGCCTCATGAACAATGCCCAGGACTCCCACTGACCCCCCACCCCCCTCGCCTCCATAGACAGCCTGTATAAATGTAAAAAACTACATTGCTACTGTTTGCACTGTTTGACTGCACTTTCTTTTTTTCTATAATATTGTTGCACCAACCCACCAGAACAAATTCCTTGTATTGTGCAAACTATACCTGCCAATAAACCTGTTTCAGATTCTGATTCTCTACTTTATTTTCTGTCCAGATACACTCTGTACAAAGTTGCCTTTGTCATTGTAGAGTGAGTAATTCTTTCCAAGTACTTATTTAAGCAATCTAGTGAAACATTCTTTACGTTTCCATATTATAATATATATAAAAAACTAAATATTGCAATGCCAGTTTTTGCAATATCATTCAGCGCCTGTAGATGAGCATGAACTCTTTTGAAGTCTATGTAAACTCCAACAAAAGACACAAAAATAATTGAGAATCTCATAGGTTTGGTTTCACTGTGTTATATTATTTATCATAAGATCATAGCCCCAATTAAAAGCTGCACAATGACTGTTTAAATTCCCAGCAGGCCGCATTCAGAATAGTCCTTTGGCGCCACCCATCGGCCAAACACCGTCATTACATCCAGGTGCACTTCCGCTCCTTCAGCAAACCGGGAAGTCGGACCGTCTCCGTCTCTCCGGTGCGTCTCCGGTAATCCACCGCGGGTCGTGGTGTTGCTGCTGCCGGCGTCGGGATGGCGATGTCCACGTTTCAGAAGGTGACCCTGGCCACCTGCCTCGTGCTCTGCGTCGCGCTGCTGCTGCCCAAGATGCTGTTATCGCGAGGAAGGAAGGATGCTGGCGAGCGGCCGGAGGGTGCGTCTCTTCACGGCTTCTGCTCTCCGTCCACAGGGCCTCTGGCTTCATTCAGAGAGCGGAGACAAGCCTTTTTATTTATGCACTTTTGAGAGTTGTGCTATTATCTTTGTTTATCAGTATTTCAAGCCGAAGTGTATATTGTACATCACTGTGGGTCTGGGATCTTGTAATGACATTTTCCTCCCTGACGAGGGCGCCAAAACAGCCCTGGTGTTATTTACATGTTAGTGACCCCAGCAATAGGTATCAGTAAATTACAGCAGGAAAATTAACTTTAAAAAAATATATACATTAATAGAGCAAATGTGCATGGTGTATGTACGTTTTATAATTTAAAAATGTATACATAGCCCGAGCCTTTCGGGTTCCACTTTGTCCACAGACGGTAGATCGACAAGTGGTCCTTTAGGTCTGACTCCTTTATTATCAGAACCACTTTTTTGTGTTCATTGAAAGTTATAATCTCACAATTTGCTAATTTATTGAGAGGATGTATTTTTTTCCTTTTGCCTTGTGATCTCAAGTTGATGTCAATAACAATAGTAATTGTTGTGGATTTATTGTACAAACCCAAGGCGAAACGATGTTGCGGCCTTTTCTTTTAACGTCCTTCACATTTGAACAACCCTCTACTTCTAAATCACAACACTACAAAACACTCATGCTAGAAATGTTTGTTATCTTGTTTAAAGTGAGTGTAAATCAGCCAAATGAACAGAACCAGCAGCTGCAGTGTTGTGAGTCACTAAGTGGAGTGCTGTTAAAGTGACACCGTTAAAGAAGAGGCCACAACATTTGTAGCTCTTTCTAATGTTATTCAGTGAGCACTGTCTTGAATCAAATGAACTAATGAAATGAAAAATTAGAAACATAAATCAACAGAACCATGAACTACAAGAAGCAGGGCAAACTATAGTCTCCAGCAGTACTGGAAAATTGAATCAAAAACAGAAAAATTAGACATGTAAAAATGTTTAAATGAAATGAAATGAAATGAAATGAAAAATACTTTATTCATCCCAGAAGGGAAATTCAATAAAAAGCCCTTATAAAGCCCTTATATACATATATTCAATTCTAGAAAGCAGTGAAAAGCAGCTGTAATTAAGTAAAATATCTACTTTAAAATTTAGGATATATAAAAGCATTTTGTTTAATGCAAACATTTTAATGTCAATTTGTGATGAGCTTATTTTGCCTTCATCTTGTTTCTTGCAAAACGCTTTTGAGCACACATAAACAACCACGTGGCTGCTCAAATGAACAAAAAACTGTCATATTATTTATAAAAGCTGAAGACATTCACTGTGTAGGACTTCCTCTTTACTGGTTGCACTCCTCCCTGCAGGTGCAGGTCGCTTCCCACCGATGATGCACCGTCAGATGGCTACGGAGAGCCGAGGCCAGAGAGCCGCAGGGTCCAGCTTCTCCAGGGCCCACAACCCTGAGGCCATAGCCAGGGCCAAGGGAGCAGGAACAGGGGCAGGAGCTGGAGGCAAATCCAACCTGGCAGGACAGATCATCCCTGTGTACGGCTTCGGGATCTTACTCTACATCCTCTACATACTGTTTAAGGTGAAATACTGCTGGCTACACACACAGCGGCTGGAATAAAATGATGTAGACAGTAATTCGAAAACTTCACTTAAGTAAGAGTTCTTTCAAACCATTGAACATTTTAGAAGTTTGAGCTAAAAAAGAAAAAAGAAGAAAGATTTTAAACATGTTTCTGTATTTTGTAAAAATGACAGTTCAGTTTTCCAGATCACTTACTTTTGTTAAATTATATCTCTTTCTAAGTCGAGTATATATACATCCAAAGTACAATTCAAAATATCAAAGTATTTCAAACTGTAGTAAAAAGGAAACTATATATGGAAGGCCAAACCTGTCATAACTAAAAAGAAATAAATAAATATTATTTTTTTTACATTTTGCTTTAATTTATTCATTTATCCATTTATTCATTGATTGGATGGAAAACAATAAATGTGAAAACAAAGAAATTAATATGAAAAATTTAAAAAACAAGTGTAAAAATAATAAATCACTGTGGAAATAAGAATAAATGTGGGAATAAAATTAAAGTATGTAAAAAAAAATTGAATGAATGAATAAATGGATAAATGAATGGAAAATGTAAAAAAGAAAAAGAAAAAAGAAAAATAGATTTGTTTTTTTATTCATTTATTTTTAATTATGACATGTTTTGCCCTCCATAACCATAAAGGAATAAGTGTAAAAAGAAATAATGCTGTTGGTCAGTGGTAAAGGTGAGCGTGACACTGAGCTGTGGGGTTGTTGGTTTGTTGTGCTTGGAGAGGTTTAATCCTGCTATTGTCTCCCTGTTAGATCACATCTAAGGGGAACAGCAAGCCGTCAGAGGGCAGGTTTCCTTCAGTTCGGTCAGAGAACATGAAGAGAAAGATCAGTGAGTTTCATTCACCAACACTTATTCACCTTTTTTTAATTTATGCTTTTATCAACTTTTTGCAACACTTTAATCTAATTTCTTCAGATATTTTCTCTTGATTGTTGGACTAAGGCACCTGCCGTGTGAATGACATGTAATTTGCCCAAGACATAGATTGAGACAGATTAAAACCACCTGCTTGAAGTTGTGTAGGCTGCTCTTGTGCCGCCAGAACATCTCTGACCTGGACTGTGTGTCCTGTGGTGTCTGGCATTGGGACGTTAGCAGATCCTTCTGGCCCTGTTGGTTGTGGGATGTGAGGCCTCTGTGGATTGGGCCTGTTCCATCATATGCCACAGATGCTGAATCAGATCAGGTTCTAATGAGTTTGGGGGACAGGATGATGTTCTACTGGGATTCCTGTGGATGTAGCTGTGACACATGGCAACGTCACTAAATGATGTTGGAAGCCTTCCTCAGCGGGACAGTACAACCCAACATACTACAAAGAACTGCTCAGGAATGACTTGAAGACCACCGTTGATTCGGACTTCAAAGTCCCCAGATACTCGTGATGTGCAGATCGATACTGAAATATCAATACTTCCGATACCAGATCTTTTACTCTAAAATTGATTCTCAAAACAAAATATTGATACTTTTGATACTAAAGTCTTTTGAGGTAATGTATATCATAACTAAACTGTTGTCTTGTCTAAATGACACCCAGTTGGTGGGAACTACTTTTTCTTCCGCTGCAGGCAGGCACTATGCAGGTACAGAAGAGGAAAATGTGGGCCTTTAAGCGGCGTTAAGCACTGTTGCTGTTGGAGTTGTTCAAATTAATAAATATGGTTATGAAATTAGTAACGAAATAAATACATGCTTGAGAGATCCATCCCTGGTTGAGCTGGAGATCATGCTAGCAGAGCTAAACTGGGTGGCTCGTAAGATTTTCTTAACCTTTGGTCTGTTCTCTAAACTACACAACAACACACCTCTGAACACTAGAGACTCTTCTATAACACAACCAGCTCACAAACAATCTTCATCAAAAGTCTTTATTTTCTCAGTCTCGTTCTTGCTGACTTGGAAGGCTAGTTGCCCTAACAACGACCACTCAAGAGTTTTTCTTAACCTCTGCTATGTCCACTTACCAGCTAATCTGGGTGGCTTATAAGATTTTCTTAACCTTTGGTCTGTTCTCCAGTGGGCACGAATAGTGTTAATACACAGTGAATACACTTGTTCCTCCCCACCAGGATCAACAGCTCATAGTTCAATTGCTTCTATATCACTAAATCTAGCCTTCCCTGTCAGTTTCACCTGCTCTCTTTTCCTTACATCGTTTAGTTGGTAACACACAAAGACTTAGGGAAATTAAAGCAATCTCTGGGATAAAAACAAGGATAAGAACATAGAATTTAATTTAAAAGTCACAATGATAGAGAAAGAAAGAAAATAAGTAGAATAAAAATTTTAAAAAGTGCAAATGTCACTACTTCTTATTGAGCTCAAATAAATAAATAACTTGGATGTTTTGTATAATTATGAAGCTCTGATTTGAAATAAACTACTTTTTAGAAAAATTTTTTTTAGATTTACTACACACATTAGGTGTATTTACACAAAGTATCTGTATTGGATCGGTATCGCCGATACCAGTCTGCATTTTACTCAGTGAAGGAAAGGAAATCAGTGGTATCAAACATCACGACCAGAGACTATTCTGATAGAACATCGGTGGGATACGCTGGAACAAGTCAGATCCATAGATACCCCTTACACAAACTACAGGTCTCCCAGGTCCATGGCCGATGGGTCAGAGCTCTACACAATATTAGTCAGTGTGATCAGTGTGTTCTTCTCAAGCACTGCAGTCGTGTACAAACTGTATCACTGTCATTATTATGGGATGAGCGCTGTGTTGTTATCACGCCACTATGTCACATAATAATGTTGTACAGATGTAGATCACAGGGTAAATGTGCCTTTTCAAGAGGGACTTTTTCACTTGGGTTGGGCTTAAAACAAAAGACTTTCATTTGAACATCAAGGCAACATTTTCTTTCAAAAAAAAAGAAAAGAAAGAAGCTCTTTGTGTGTCACATCTGCATTAAATTCCATCCAGTCTCAGAAATTTCCATGCCTGACATGCACGTTCATCTTGGTGGTGCATTAACCTAATGAGAAAAAAATTGATGTTGGTCATTTTCCTGCATATTGATTCCTATAAAGCATCATACAGTGAGATGTATGGCATTGTAACCGCCTACGCTTCACAGCCTTGGTCGATATCATCTGACACTGTGACTCTTTCTGTCCCTTAATGTCGTCCCTTCCCGGCCCTCCAGCGGACTTTGAGCTGGCTCAGCTGCAGGAGAAGCTGAGGGAGACGGAGCTGGTGATGGAGAATATTGTTTCCAACGCCCACCACAGCCCTGACAGGTGGGTGAGCGCCCATAACAGAGGAGTCGTTTCATCAGTCAGCCTCCTCCCTCTCTCTTACAAGAATGACCCTCTTGAGCTTGTTTTTTAATTTAATTCCATGCATGCAGTAATCTCTTCCACAGCGAACATAAAGACAAACATGACACTCCCATACAGCCATGTGTGAAGGCAGATCATTTCCTTTTCTTTGCAATTTTCTCTGCTTTTATAAAATGAACTCTCATTGCTGTATGCTGTTTGTTATTAACACTCAAATGCTGATCTTCAGTGGCTGGGCAGAGCTTTTTAAACATTTTTATTTATCCTCAAATATGTCTTGCTGTTAAAATAGTATTTTTGAAAAAAAACTTTAGAAGATATTGACTGATTTCCATCCAAACAACCATAAATGCACCATTTTTTACATCAAGAAAGGTAGCATGTTGTTAGTTCAGGCAGAATCTAACACTAGACTAAAGTAGGAAACGTGTAACAGAAGAGCGCTGAGTCTTCTGTCTGTGTTACAGGGTGAAGGGGGTGACAGCGGATCAGGAGGAGAGTCTCCTGCAGCAGCTGACGGAGATAACTCGGGTGATGCGAGAGGGCCAGTTGGTGGAGGCAATGGCTCCAGAGAAGAAGCCCCAGGACGACTGGGAAGGTATGCAAACGCTGCATGAGCACAGTGACGTTTTACCCACAGGAAGACGGGCCTTAACTCGTGTTTCACAGTATAAAAAAATACTTTTGTTTGTGTGGTATCAAGTTGTGAACATGAAGTGTTACTTTACTTCTACTTTCCTCTCAGTATGCTTTGTGCACTTGTGAAGTGCTGCTGTAGTTAAATCAAGCACAATCTTTTTGTTGCAACTCTATCTGCTTGAGTTTGTAGTCGTCTAAA